AACCAAAACGAATATCTTCATATATTCCTAAGGAAAACATAGGAACTGACTCATGCTCACATTCATGGAAATCAACTGTTTCAGACTTATGATCTCTATTTTCTTTTCTGAGAACTGTAAAAGGACAGGATGGCCAGCTTGTGACTGTGAGGCAAACCGCTGCTAGTTCTGGGGTATTCACACCCCGGACTCGGACAGAACATGTAAAAGGGAACGCAGACTGGGGGTGCCCCAGCCTGGCCATCTGCCCTCCAGCAAGCTGTGTTGCCACCACTGATTAAGCGAGCCTGCATTCCATGCAGTTACAGCCCTTCTCAGCCTCTAGCCAGAAAGAACCAATACTTGACAGCAGGCTGAGGCAGGAGAATCGCTTCAACCTGGGAGGTGGAAGTTGCAGTGAGCCAAGCTTGCCCCACTGTAATCCAGCCTGGGCGACAGAGTGAGACTCTGTCTCAGAAAAAACCAATACTTGCTCTTGAATGGCACGAATGTGAGATGTGCACAAGAATCAGCAGTTCCTTTGAGATGGAAAGCCGGCCACAACTGCGCCAGATTCAACTGTGGAAGATACAAAATCACCATCCAACTGACCCAAAGGACTCTGCCACAGGGGCCCAGGAGGTGGGAGGAGTGGGTGGCCAAGGGACAAAAGCGTCTACCACCCAGTCGACCAACGCAAAAGTATTTTCAGCAATGAAACTCCTACTAAATCTAAAAATACATGGGGGCCTTGACAATACCTTCAGTTCCGCTCTACAGGGGGAAGAAACCACAGAAGGTGGCAGGGGACAGTGCAATCCTGGGATAGGTGCCAGGGATCCAGAAATGGGCAGCACCCTCCAACTGACAGACACACACATCTCCAGGGCCCATCTAAATGGGGAATCTGACCTTATTTCCACAGCCAGAGAAACTGCTCAAACTATAGTTTCACTGTACAAGGATATCCACTGCACTCCAGCCTGGGCAACAAGAATGAAACTCCGTCTCAAGAAAGAAAAGAAAGAAATGAATAACTTGAACTTCACCAAAACTATAAACTATTTTCCAAAAGACAATGTTAAGAAAATGAAAAGGCAAGCCATGAGCTGGGAGAGAAAAACATCTTTTAAATATGTATCTTCCAGATGATATAAGGAACTCTTACAAGAGCAACCCAACAGGCCGAATCCAATATTTAAAATAGACAAAAGATTGAACATAACAAGAAGGCATCCAAAGGCCAACACACACATGAAAAGATGGTCAACCCCGTTCATCATGGGGAAATATGCAACTTAAAGGGAGTGAGACACCACCACATGCAAGTTAGAATGGCAAAAATTACAAAGACCAGCGACCCAATGCAGTGCTGGCACAATGTGGAGCCCTGGAACTCACACGCTGGTGGTGGACTGCAGAGCGGTACAACCATTTTGGAAAACGGTTCATACATTTAACCACACAACACAGCAATTCCACTCTTAGGTAGGTACCCAAGAGCAATAAAAACATATCCACAAAAAGACTTGTACACAAATGTTCATAGCAGCTTTATTCAAATAGCAAAAAACTGGAAACAGACGAATGGATAAAACAATGATAGCATTTCCACACGATGGGCTACGCAGAGTCAAAGAGCATGGCTGACCCTCCCCAACATCGGCGGGGCCGAGAATGCCACAGAGACGACAGAACAATGTGCTTCTATTCATGGGAATCTCTAGAAAGTGACCCGAGGTCAGAGCAGAGCAACAGCTGGCGGGGACGCCACATGGGAGGGGCACAGAAGCCTCTGGGGTAGTGGAAAGTTCCACATCTGGACTGTGGAGGGGATTGCACAGGTGCAAACATCATCAACGTTCCTCAAACTGCAACCTGCCCACTCCAAAGAGACACACGGGCCAGGCGCGGTGGCTCACGCCTATAATCCCAACACTTTGGGAGGCCGAGGCAGGCAGATCACCTGAAGTCAGGAGTTCAACACCAGCCTGGCCAACATGGCAAAACCCCATCTCTACTAAAAATAGAAAAGTTGGCTGGGCGTGGTGGCGGCACCTGTAATCTCAGACTCGAGGCTGAGGCAGGGAGACTTTTTTTTTTTTTGAGACAGTGTCTCGCTCTGTCGCCAGGCTGGAGTACGGTGGCATGATCTCTGCTCACTGCCACCTCTGCCTCCTGGGTTCAAGCGATTCTCCTGCCTCAGCCTCCCAAGTAGCTGGGACCACAGGCACACGCCACCACGTCCAGCTAATTTTTTGTATTTTTAGTAGAGATGCGGTTTCACCATGTTGGCCAGGATGGTCTCGATCTCCTGACCTTGTGATCCGCCCGCCTCGGCCTCCCAAGGTGCTGGGATTACAGGCGTGAGCCACCACGCCCGGCCAGCAGGGAGAATTTCTTGAACCCAGGAGGTGGTGGTTGCAGTGAGCCGAGATTACGCCACTGTACTCCAGCCTGGGCAACAGAAGGAGACTCCGTCACCAAAAAAAAAAAAAAAAAAAAAAAATTTATGATTCCTCTGATTTAGAGTTTCAATTTTTATGAGTAAATATTTTAAAATAACATAAACCTCTAAACTGAAAAAGATGCTCAACAAAAAAACAAGTGATTTATTTAAAACAATAAACCTGTTCAAGGCAGCGACTCTCCACTTAGCAGAGGGAAGCCACGCCTGAGACGCCCGGTGTGTGTGCTTCCGACAGCGTTTCCAGGGAATCGGGGAAACACCCCTGGAGAGCCCCACCGGCTCCTGCAGTCCTGGCCCAGCTGGCCTGGGCTACGCCGTGGAGGCTCACGCGGGGCCATCACGGAGATAAGAGTCCTTTGGACACAGAGCCACATTCTGTGGCCTGGAGAGCCAGCAGAGCCACGTGGTGCCAGCCTGACCCCACTGCTCAGAATATGGGAACAGGCCGGGCACGTGTTAGACATGCAGCGTCTGAGGCAGAGGGATCTCAACGGAACCCTGGGTTGGCCGTGCAGGGCGAGCTGGCCCACACTAGCCTGAGTCCCAGGCCTGCTCTCTGGGCTCGGAGGGGCGACTGTCTACCCACTCTGGCGACCCCGCCCTGCACAGTAGCCCTGAGCAGCCCACAGGAAACCACTGCACAGTGACGGCCCCACTCACCTTGGCCCAGGCCAGCTTCTCCTGGATGGCGGCATTGCCGGGCTCCACGTGGCGCGCAAACTTCAGGTTGTTGATGGTGTACTCGTGGCCACAGTAGACTCTCTGAGGAAACAGGCGACAGTTGAGCTCAGAAGGCTGTTACCACCCGTGGAAGTCCTCAGGGACGGGACCTGGACCCTCCCGGGGGGGTGTCCAGTGAGCGGGTGCCAGAAGGGAGAGCAGGCCCGCCCTGGGTGAGGCCCTCCAAACCCCGGCCCACAGGGAGGCGCTGCCTACTGTGTCTGGGGGCAGCCGGCCCAAGACCTCCAGCAGAGCTTTACACATCTCATCCGCAGTCCCTTCATAGAACTTCCCGCAGCCAGCCACAAACAAGGTGTCACCTGGAAACAAGGACAGCCATAAGGTGGGGACCACTCGAGGCTGGTGGCTGGGACTCAGGAGGGGGCCAGAAGCAGGATGATACTCACCAGCAAGGCCCAGGCCCCAAACCCTGGCTGCCCTCCAGCCACGGCTGCCCAGACTCAGCACCCTGCATTCTGGCTCCCACACCTCCTTCCAAGTCTCAGCTGACAGTGCCAACCACGCGACTGGCCGTGCAGACCCAAAACCCAGTCACTCCTCCCTCCCAGCCCCCAGTCCCACCAACTGTGGCTCTGAGACCCTCCCAAACCCAGCCCTCTCCCCGAACACCCAGCAGCCCCTCTCAGGCCCGTGCCTGGCTCCCATCTTCCCTTGGCCCCAGCAGCCAGCGCCACCCCGTGACCAAGGTCTCACCACCCTGGCTGAGCTGACCGGAACCACCTCTCACCCACGGCGGGGGATACGGCCCGAGTGTGGCTCTGGGCCACCAGGAGGCCTCCCGGTCGTGCAAGGCCCACATCGAGTCACCGGGTGAAACCCTGCACTGTGAGGCCAGTCGGGACCAGACGACAGTAACAAGCATGGGAGGCAGCCCCCGCCCCCAGCAGCCTCCACACCACCTTGAAGGTCGCAGCCATGAAGGGCCCGGCCTACAGTGGGGCCGTCCCCTGGCCATATGACCTCCAGAGGTGCCTCCACGGGTCTGCAACAACCCTGGGAGGCAGGCAGGGCCCCTAGACTGGCACAGGTCCCCGAGTCCACACTACGGCATCGAAAACACGGACCCAGGGCTGAGCCACCTCTCGCCCTGCCAGAAGAAACTGACTCCTTTCCTGTGGGATCCGCTAGGACCCCAGCTGTCCAGCAGTCTCCGCCAGCACAGCCCTTGCAGAAGGCGTAACTTTCTTCCAGACCACGATCCAAACCCGTCGGAGGAGGAAACGGCCAGTCCCACCACGAGGCTCCCAGCACCCACCCCGGGTCCTCACAGCGGTGCAGGAGAAGGCCATGAAGCTGCCCCCGTGAGCCTGTCTGGCAGGAGACACAGGGTCTTCACAAAGAACCACCGCCCCCCACACCCAAACACACACCTGTGAACACAGCAGGGGGCTCCGAGCCACCGGGCTTGCTCACGAAGTAACAGATGTGTCCTGAAGTGTGGCATGGTGTCGCCAGGCACTTGACGTTGAGAGACCCCACCTTAAACAAAGCAAGTGACCGCGTGTGCTCCCAGACACCCTGGAGAGCGTCGCCCGGGGTCACGGCGCGCACCCTGGGCCCTACGGGGCCTCCTCAGCTCCGAGGGAAATGCCTGTGAAGGTTAGGCGGGCGCTCCCCGCCACGGGACTGGGGGACTCACTCCATGGGCGTGCCCCAAGTGCGGGGCCACCCTGGAACAAGAGCGCTTGCATGTAAAACACCAAGGGGCTTGTTTTCTCCTTCAAAACTGGGCCGAATCCATGCTCGGCATCTGGCTAGGAAAGACGGCTTTCCTTCCCACACATGACCTTTTGTTTTCCTCTGTCCCCATGTGCCCCAATTCTTTACTTCAAAAATGTTCACACCTTCAAAAAGGCTGAACACCCCCTCACAGCGGCCTCCTGCCTGTGTGCTGCGTTCTCGAACCGGGACCCCACCCACGTGGCCCACGCCCCACGGTCTCGGAGCCCTGCTTCACAGCCCCGCACACGGCCGTGTTTTGCACACTCCTGTCCTTGTGCCTAGACAGAGAAGACCGTCCATGCTACCGCAGAGGACCACTGGGAGCACTCCCGGGTCACCGGGTTAGGGAGCAGAGAGGACGCAGGGAGGCCCCACTGCTCCTGGCAGGGCCACACTGGGGCACCTCCAGGGCTCACTCCTTACCTGCAGTGTGGACAGGTGAGTGATTTTGTGCGTCAGGGCCCCGATACGGTCGTCACCCCCGTACACCTTCAGTCCCGACTGCAGCTTGACCAGTTTCTCATTCCCGCCAGCATGGTCCCTGGAAGTCAAACGGGAGACCTGGGCTGCCTGCTGAGCTGAGGGGGCTGCCTGCTGAGCTGAGGGGGCTGCCTGCTGAGCTGAGGGGGCTGCCTGCTGAGCTGAGGGGGCTGCCTGCTGCTTTTAAACCCTGGTCAAACGGGACGCTTATTTTGCACACACAAAGGAAGCCGAGGAAGCAAATCACAGACACCTGCATGATCCTATGGCCTGGGTTCCGGGCGTGGGGGCCTGGGGTTATCACCTGGACGTCTTTACAAAGCACCACCTGGTTCCACCCCCACGTCCTGGTGCAGTGGGTCTGGGGAGCGCCTGGGGGTGGGGTTTTTTAGTTTTGAAAGCCCCCAGCTGATCCTGATGTGCTGCCCAGTTTGTGACCCGACACTCTGGCAGAAGATCAAACTGTTCAGCATGGGAATCACCTGGGGTGCGTCTGGGATGAGCAGCTGGCCCGAGGCAGTCTGTCTGCAGAGGAGGCCAGCCTGGGCCAGCTCCAGGCCTTCTGATGCGCAGCAGGTGGAGGTGCCTCCTGCGCGCCCGGGTTTGCCCAGGGGAACCTGCCTGACCTGCATTTCAGACAGGGGCGGTCGCAGGGGCCCTTCCTGGGCCTCACATGACATCACAGACTCCTTCATGTGCCTCCCATGAAAACTCCAGCGACCACACCAGAAACCACCCGCCTTGGCACCACTGGGCCCCAAGATAACAGGGTGGAGTGGTGGCTGCAGCCCTCTGCCCCTCCCACCCTTCAGGAGGGCACAGCACACAGGCCTCGGTCTGCCCATCACCACCCACCACCAGTGAGCAAACCCCACCCCGCTGAAGCTAGGGCCTGGCTTAGGACTTCACGTGCCGGCATGAACGTCAGAGGTGCCGGGAACTAAAAAGCACCACAGTGTTAGAAAGAGACGTCTGCAGCGAGGCCAGGAGAGGCAGGGAGCTGCAACAAGCTGTGATGTGCCAGGCAGCCACACGGAGGCCACCACCAGGGTTCCCTGGAGGAGGCATGGTGGCAGCAGGGGCCTCGCACGACAGGCAGGCGAATGTGCTGAGAGACAGCAGCTCAGCCACACAGGACAAGCGCCAGGGAGGCTGCCAGCACCGCCCCTCGAGCCCAGGTCCCTGCATGGACACCTCTGATGACCCCGCAGAGGCTTGTGAGGCCCGACTCACAGAGCCTGAGACTCTCCAGGCCTGAGTCCGGCTGTGTGTGAACCGTGACGCTTCCATCAAACCCTGGCCAAGCGCTCCCACCACCAAGAAGAGGACAAAAGGCTTCATTTCACCCCGACACAGAGGCTGGGGAAGCCACAGTTCGGAGGCCCTAAAGCAGTGCCAGACGGGTCCCGGCTCAGGAGAAAGGTGCCGGCTGCCCTCAGGTGCTTGCTTGGCAAAAAGAAGAAAGAGCCAAATAAACATTTTTTTCTAGCTTTGAAGAGCCTCAGAAATTTCCAAAAGCCAAACAAGGGCCTTGAGCAGGCAATGCCAGCCCTAGAACCCAGACACAGCGCTTTATTCATCTATTTTCAAGGATTTTAAAAAACCCAACCTCTCCCGATATGGCTGCTTGTCTTTTGTTTTTTGAGATGGAGTCTCGCTCTGTCACCCAGGCTGGAGTGCAATGCCACAGGCTCGTCTCACTGCAACCTCCGCCTCCGGGGTTCAAGTGATTCTCCTGCTTCAGCCTCCCGAATAGCTGAGATTACAGGCTCCTGCCACCGCGCCCAGGTAATTTTTGTATTTTCAGTAGAGACGGGGTTTCACCATGTTGGCCAGGCTGGTCCTGACCTCGTGACCCACCCACCTCAGCCTACCAAAATGCTGGGATTATAGGCATAAGCCACTGTGCCCGGCCGGCTGCTTGTTTTTTTGTTTTTTTTTGTTTTAATAAAACTCACCTGTAAAGTCATTTCCTCCCCAACACTGAGGCCAACGTGCCAGGGCACAAGCCCGCGTGGCCCAGGAGAGAGCAGGGGGGTGGGGCCTGAGGGTAAGGCTGCAGCCTTCTCCCCTCACCCTGCAGGCCTCGGGGCCTCAGAGTCACTGCAGCACCAGACTCGCCCCTTGGGGGCGACGGTGAGCCCCGGATCTTTCTCAGAAGTCTGCTGGGGGCCTATCCTCACACAGCAGACAGAGCCGTGGGGGGAGACAGGTCTCGATGTCCCTAAACCCACCAGGGCGAGAAGTGAGCCGGGTCCCGCACCCCTAGGTGAGACACAGGCCCCCGTGGCGCCAGCACTTACCAGTGGTGGTGGGTGGTGAGCACTGTGGTCAGTTTCACCCCATGCTTTCTCGCCGCGTCCACGACCTGCAGTGACCCCAGGCAGGACAAAGGCCCGTCACACTCCCAGGCCTGGCTTGCCGGCCTACACAGTAGGGTGCCCAGTGGAATCCAGGACATGCCAGGAGGGGCCCCTGACATGGCCCGTCCTGATTCTGCCGGCTTGCTCTGCTCCAGCAGAGCCAGTGAAAAGCACCTTCTCCTTCCTGCTCAGTCTGACTCTTGCAACTACCTACGACTGCCCCAAGCCCCTCTAGCTGTGAGGGTACCACCCCCAGAGGAGTCTGCAGGGGCAGAAAGCCTCCAAGAAGAGCCAAGTGCCCGGGATTTTACGGCACAGCGTTTTCTGTGTCACTGCCTCTTGCCTCCACGCTTCGTGGGGCCCTGTAACAGAGTGGCTGGCGACTAATTTCCCTTTAGCTTAGGCAAAATTGCAAGGACACTGCGGTTAGGAAACCCATCGGGGGTGAGAACTCCGAGCTGGATGATGAGGGCAGAGAGAGCCGGGCACAGCCATGCGCACCTTCTGGGGCTGCACCGGGTCCACGATGGCAGCCTCCTTGGTCTCATCATCGATGACCAGGTACATGTAGTTGTCGGTCAGGGCAGGGAGCACCTCCACCTTCATGGTGCCCTCGTCCACGGTCAGATTCTTCCGCAAATCTGTGTGGTGGAGGAGAACTCCCAGCAGGGCTGGACCTGCAGACACAGAGCACAACTCAGCGGGTGTCCACGCCAGGCCCTCCACGACAGGATGCACAAAATGCAGTGCTTCCCAGCCTTTCTAGGTTCCTTTGAAAGGGAATATCCTGGCCAGGTACGGTGGTTCTTTTTCTTTTTTTTTTTTTTTTTTGAGACAGAGTCTCACTCTGTTGCCCAGGCTGGAGTGCGGTGGCGCAGTCTCAGCTCACTGCAAGCTGTGCCTCCCGGGTTCACGCCATTCTCCTGCCTCAGCCTCCTGAGTAGCTGGGACTACAGGCGCCGCCACCACGCCTGGATAATTTTTTGTATTTTTAGCAGAGAGGGGGTTTCACCGTGTTAGCCAGGATGGTCTCAATCTCCTGACCTCATGATCCGCCTGCCTCGGCCTCCCAGAGTGTTGGGATTACAGGCGTGAGCCACCGTGCCTGGCCGATACAGTGGTTCTTGCTGGGAATCCCAGCGCTTTAAGAGACTGAGGTGGGAGGACTGCTTGAGGGCAGGAGTTTGAAACCAGCCTGGGCAACATAGCAAGACCTTGTCTCTACAAATTTAAAAATTAGCCAGGCCTGGTGGTGCGTGCCTGTAGTCCCAGCTACTCCAGAGGCTTAAGCCCGGCAGTTTGAAGCTGCAGTGACCTATGACTGTGCCACTGCACTCCAGCCTGGGTGACAAGACAAGAACCTGTTAATAAAAAAAAAAGAAAGAAAGAAAAAGAAAAAGAAAGAAAAACAAACAAAAAAAGAACCAAAACGAATATCTTCATATATTCCTAAGGAAAACATAGGAACTGACTCATGCTCACATTCATGGAAATCAACTGTTTCAGACTTATGATCTCTATTTTCTTTTCTGAGAACTGTAAAAGGACAGGATGGCCAGCTTGTGACTGTGAGGCAAACCGCTGCTAGTTCTGGGGTATTCACACCCCGGACTCGGACAGAACATGAAAAAGGGAACGCAGACTGGGGGTGCCCCAGCCTGGCCATCTGCCCTCCAGCAAGCTGTGTTGCCACCACTGATTAAGCGAGCCTGCATTCCATGCAGTTACAGCCCTTCTCAGCCTCTAGCCAGAAAGAACCAATACTTGACAGCAGGCTGAGGCAGGAGAATCGCTTCAACCTGGGAGGTGGAAGTTGCAGTGAGCCAAGCTTGCCCCACTGTAATCCAGCCTGGGCGACAGAGTGAGACTCTGTCTCAGAAAAAACCAATACTTGCTCTTGAATGGCACGAATGTGAGATGTGCACAAGAATCAGCAGTTCCTTTGAGATGGAAAGCCGGCCACAACTGCGCCAGATTCAACTGTGGAAGATACAAAATCACCATCCAACTGACCCAAAGGACTCTGCCACAGGGGCCCAGGAGGTGGGAGGAGTGGGTGGCCAAGGGACAAAAGCGTCTACCACCCAGTCGACCAACGCAAAAGTATTTTCAGCAATGAAACTCCTACTAAATCTAAAAATACATGGGGGCCTTGACAATACCTTCAGTTCCGCTCTACAGGGGGAAGAAACCACAGAAGGTGGCAGGGGACAGTGCAATCCTGGGATAGGTGCCAGGGATCCAGAAATGGGCAGCACCCTCCAACTGACAGACACACACATCTCCAGGGCCCATCTAAATGGGGAATCTGACCTTATTTCCACAGCCAGAGAAACTGCTCAAACTATAGTTTCACTGTACAAGGATATCCTATCACCCGTCTGACAATCAGCTCGGCATTTTCCAGATCATTCTCCTCAGGTACAATATACTGAGATTTCTATATGAGCAGCTTCCTGCGATATTCCCCTTCCCCTTACCTCAGTACCACCCCAGCCCAAGGAGCACACCAAGCAGTGTGGGTGCTGGGGGCGGCAGGTAGGGTACAGAAGGGCTGCGACAGGATTCCCTGAGTGCCAGGGCATCCTCCTGGAAAGGAGCTCCATTGATACTAGTAGAACATTACAAACAAAAATATTGCCCATGTGCAGTGGCCATGCCTGTCATCCTAGCACTTTGGGAGGCCGAGGCAGGTGGATCACTTGAGGTCAGGAGTTAGAGACCAGCCTGGCCAACATGGTGAAACCCCATCTCTACTCAAATACAAAAATTAGCCGGGCGTGTTGGCGAGTGCCTGTAGTCCCAGCTACTCAGGAGGCTGAGGCACGAGACTTGCTTGAGCGTGGGAGGCAGAGGTTGCAGTGAGCCAAGACTGGCCACTGCACTACCTCACAACTGGTGCTCAGCCTCCCATGGGGACCATCACAGCCTCCTAAAGAAGCTGACAACCCATGGAGGTGCCTTTATTTCTGAGGAAAGACGCAGCTGGTGCCAGCACCAGCAGAAACCTTATTCCCTTTCCCTATCACTCAGCCCAACACTGCCTGGAAAATGTTGCCGGCTCGCTGTTTTGTAACTGTAATACTTTGTACAAACAGGCCAAGGACCTGCAGCTTGGGGCCTGGGCCAACTCCAGAAATGTTTGATTTGGCCCACAAAAATTTTTTTTTTTTTTTTTTTTTTTGTGATATGGTCTCACTCTGTCGCCTAGGCTACAGTGCAGTGGTGCGATCACGGGTCACTGCAGCCTCGACCTCCTGGACTCAAGCGATCCTCCCACCTCAGCCACCAAAGTGACTGAGACGACAGTTGTGTGTCACCACGCCCGGCTGATTTTGTTTAGTTTTTATAGAGATGAGGTCTCAACATGTTGACAGGCTGGTCTGGAACTCCTGGACTCAAGGGATCCTCCCGCCTCGGCTTCCCAAACTGCTGGGATGACAGGCGTGCGTCACTGCACTTCTTTCTTAAATCAGGAAGGTTTCACAGCATCTTGCTTCCCTTAAACTGGGCGGCACTAAATACGGGGGCTGGGGGCTCCCTTAGAATGAGGCAGGCACGCCCTGCCGATGCACACAGTCCCGCTGGAACTCTCTGCCTGGGCCCTTATGAATCTCCCTAATGTCCCTAAAACTGTAATTCTGAGGACCTCTAAATCCATGTCCGTTCCTTAGCAATGGAGACATTTTACCCCCTGCAGAGCCTTGACAGCTTTTGGCGAGATCTGGAAACCGCCAGGGACGCCTCCCTGCCTGCGCCTCCGCCCGCCCAGTGCCCTGCGCTGCGCACCCGCCCGGGGCGCTGGCCTGGCCGGCCTCGCGACCACCTCGGGCGAATGACACGCCGGGTCCCCAGACAGGGAGGCTCCGGCGCCGGGCGGGCAGCTCCACCACCGCAGGCGGCGCCGCGAGAGCGCGGTCCTTGCAGCCGGGCGGCAGGTGCGGGGTGGGCCAGGCGTCCCGGAGCCCTGCCCGCTGCGCCTCAGAGCCGCGCCCCAGGCTCTCCTCGGCGCCGGCCCGGGCAGGACGCGATGCCCTGGAGGCGTCAGAGGCACTGCCGGCCCAGCCTGACCGTGGAGGCCGCGGCGGACGCAGGCCTGGCCCTGCTTACCTAGCGCTTTCCGCACCCGCGGCCCCGCGCCCGCTCCGCGCCCGCCTCAGCGCCTGCGCCGCCTCCACTCGAGCCGGGCAGCGCGGCCTCAGGCACCTGCGCAACAGAAACCGCGTCAGCGGCCGCCAACCGACGGCCCGGCGCCGCCCGCTGCCCGCCCCGCCAGGCCCGCATCCCCTGGCCCGCACCGCCCCGTCGCACCCACCCAGGCCTCGGCGGGCGCAGGCGGCTCCCAACGCGGCGAGGCTGCGACGGCCGAGCAACCCGCGGCTCAGCACCATGACCGGAGCCGGGCTGGACGGCCGGGCGGCTCCGGGCTGCAAAACACCGGCGTCGACGCGTCTCAGCCAATCAGCGCCCGCCTCGCGCTGCCCTCAGCCAATCAGCATCCGCCTCGCACTGTCCGCCAGCCAATCAACGCGCTCGCGCTCAACTAGTTTCCTCCACGAGCCCCGACTGCCACGGGCCGGGAGACGGGCCTGGGAGCGGGGGCGGCGGCCCGAGAGATGCGCCAGGAGAGTTGTGCCGCGAGCCTCCGCCTCTTTTTTGGCACCGCGAAGCGGCTCCCTGGAGGCCGAGGGCCACGCCGCCTGGGCACCCGGCAGATCGCGAGGTGGAACGAGCCGTCGCTGCGGGGACAGCGTTCCGAGGCAGTTGGTCCTCTCCGGGGTGCCGTAGGCATCAGCTGACCGGCCCAGCGCACGTGACTACAGGGGCACTTGATGGGAATCATGGCAGCCTCCCGGCCACTGTCCCGCTTCTGGGAGTGGGGAAAGAACATCGTCTGCGTGGGGAGGAACTACGCGGACCACGTCAGGGAGATGCGCAGCGCGGTGTTGAGCGAGCCCGTGCTGTTCCTGAAGCCGTCCACGGCCTACGCGCCCGAGGGCTCGCCCATCCTCATGCCCGCGTACACTCGGAACCTGCACCACGAGCTGGAGCTGGGCGTGGTGATGGGCAAACGCTGCCGCGCGGTCCCCGAGGCTGCGGCCATGGACTACGTGGGCGGTTATGCCCTGTGCCTAGATATGACCGCCCGGGACGTGCAGGACGAGTGCAAGAAGAAGGGGCTGCCCTGGACTCTGGCCAAGAGCTTCACGGCGTCCTGCCCGGTCAGCGCGTTTGTGCCCAAGGAGAAGATCCCTGACCCTCACAAGCTGAAGCTCTGGCTCAAGGTCAACGGCGAACTCAGACAGGAGGGTGAGACAGCCTCCATGATTTTTTCCATCCCCTACATCATCAGCTATGTTTCTAAGATCATAACCTTGGAAGAAGGAGATATTATCTTGACTGGGACGCCAAAGGGAGTTGGACCGGTTAAAGAAAACGATGAGATCGAGGCTGGCATACACGGGCTGGTCAGTATGAGATTTAAGGTGGAAAAGCCAGAATATTGAGTTATTTATTTACAAGTTTCGGGAGAGAAGGGAAAAAGACAACAGCAAGCAACGGCTATTAAATGTCACAATCCTTTAATAAAAAACCATTTATTGGCTGGGCATAGTGGCTCACGCCTGTAATCCCAGCACTTTGGGAGGCTGAGGCGGGCGGATCTCGAGGTCAGGACATCGAGACCATCCTGGCTGACACAGTGAAACCCCGTCTCTACTAAAAATACAAAAAATTAGCTGGGCGTGGTGGCGGGCGCCTGTAGTCCCAGCTACTCGGGAGGCTGAGGCAGGAGAATGGCGTGAACCCGGGAGGCGGAGCTTGCAGTGAGCCGAGATCACACCACTGCACTCCAGCCTGGACAACAGAGCGAGACTCCGTCTCAAAAAAAAATAAAAAGAAACCATTTATTTTAAAAACGATTAGATTGCTATGCCTCAGCTCATATAAGATGGACTCTTCAAGAAAACGTGAAGTAGAACGGATAGGCCAGAAATGAAAACAGCCAAAGTAAAGTATTTCTTCAGAAAACATTTTATCAAACCAAATGTTGAGTTTCCTTTTGTAAACCTGGATTGGAGAAGACCTTTCAGTGGGTTATCTCTAGTAGTTCAAGACTTAAAAGCTGCAGAGAAAACTGAAAATTATGTTCCAGATAACTTTCCATTGTTTACTAAATTTTCTTGGACTTGGTCATCATCAGGAAGCATTTGTAAAAACAATAATTTCCAAATTACTGGCCCATTCCAGACTGGCTGAATCCATTTGATAGGATTAATCTCCAGTGAAGCTGTGTTTACAGAGCGTTCGAAGTGATTCTTATCAGGAAATGTGAAAAACACTCCTGCATGTAATCAGTTAATTTAAAATTTTTCTTAATAAGCAAACAATTAATGAAGATTTCACCTGTTTACTTAGGGTATCTACCCAGACCCATCGATTCTGAGTTCGAGGGATGATTTTGAAATTATTGCTTTCCAAATAAAGGTGCTCCCTTGTATGTGGCTTTACTAATTTATTTCTCCCCAGTAGTGATGAGGAGGGATATTTCCTTCTTGTGGGGTTTTAGACCTTAGTCTTTGACCTTTAGCCTTCTGAGCACTGTGCTCTATTAACAGAGTTAATCAGCAACTGTACTTCCCAACCGGAGATAAGGAGGCTTTGTGGAAGTTGAATAGCCTGGGACTGGTGCTTTTGCTCTTGCCTGCACCTTTCTGCGAAAAAAAAGTCTAGACAAGATGCACAGCATAGCTATCAATGCCTGGAGGAGTCCTCTGGGCTTCGGCAGGGGTTCCTGTTAGTGTACACATCATCTGCTGGCCCCTTGAAGAAAGCCTAGGACATCTAATTTAGTAATAATGGTCACCATTTATTGAACACAATGCTGTTATGCAGCATGTCAAGCAGTTTATTCTGTATTTCCATGTGTTATGTAACCCTCAACCAAGCCATAAGGTTAGTATTACCACTACCATCCCCATTACTCAAATGAAGACAGATCTAGAGGCTAGGAAGGCTGGCTAAAGTCACTCAGCTTAGTGGCAGAGCCAAGATGTAACCCACTCTCCCAAGACCAGAACCTGAAGTTTTGACCACAATGTGGGCTGCATCCTGTAAGTAGGTACATAAGAAGAATCAGACATTTAGGTATGCTACAACCCATGCTTATAGTATAATTTAGTATGAGGAATTGCCATAATTTGATTTCTTTATTAAATATGCTATCTTAACTACTTTTAGTATTATTTTTTTCATTGCTTGGCAATGCATGTAATTAGAGAAGAGTCAGAAAATACAGATTAGCAATTAGAACAAAACACCAAAAATTTCATCTACCCAGGGACTGCCGAAGTTAAGCATTTAGTCCAAGTTCTTCCAAATCTGTGGATATAATTGTAATGTTTTAAATAGAGTTTGCTCATACCATACAATTTTCTTCTTTTTTCGCTTTTTTTTTTTTTTTTTTTTGAGATGGCGTTTAACTCGTTGCCCAGGCTGGAGTGCAGTGTCGTGATCTTGGCTCACTGCAACCTCTGCCTCCCGGGTTCAAGTGATTCTCCTGCCTCAGCCTCTCGAGTAGCTGGGATTACAGGCATGTGCCCCCACACCCAGCTAACTTTGTATTTTTAGTAGAGACAGGGTTTCACCATGTTGATCAGGCTGGTCTCGAACTCCTGACCTCAAGTGATCCACCCATCTTGGCCTCCCAAAGTGCTGGGATTACAGGTGTGAGACACCGCGCCCAGCTATACCATAAAATTTTTTAACTTGCTTATTTCACTGTATATTGTGACCATCTTTTTCCTTGTTAGCTGACACATTCCTGCAGTACAATTTTCATGGATTGCATAAGATTCTGAAGTCAAGCCTCCATTTTTGGACCTTGAGATAGTCTCTAATGATTTGCTAGTATCAGCACATGTGCTGTTGGCTAGGTTCCCATAAGTGGAAGAGCTGGATCAAAGGGTGTGCTTATGCTGAAAGTGTATTATTTGTCTAGCTACCAGGTACAAGGTTCAGCTGAGATACATCTACCAAGTTGACAGACTATTAAAGTCAAAGGCATAAAGTAGAAGCATTGCTCACATGCAACCCTAGTAGGTGGCACAAGCTAGCACTGAATACGGTACCCCCAGGGTCAGTGTTCACCACAGTGGTAGAACAAGCTTTGTCACAAACATCGACATCAGCATTGCAAGTGTAGGCACACGAAGTCCTTAGATGCAAGAATCAAAAACAAAGACACCAAGTCCGACAATTCCTGATAATGCTAAAATCATAGTAATCCTAGCATTCAAAAGATAACGTTTTTCCACATTTTGAATACATTTAAACCTATGAAAAAGTTGAAAAACTAATACAATGAACTCCATATGCCCTTTAATAGATTCAACAATTACCAGCACTCACTGTTTGTCCTCTGGTCCTGTGTCTCGCCTTTCCTCCCACCCCCCCATATATGTGTATATATACATACACGCACCTCTCTCTATATGTGTGTATATATATGCGCGCGCACACACACACACACACCCTTATTTTGAAAATGCATCGGGATGGTGACTGCAGAAAGACTCTGCCCTTTCAGCATACATCTCCTAAGAATCAGGATATTCTCCTACATGGAAATGTAAGACCATTATCACACTTCACAATATATTAGTCTGTACAGAATATATGGCTTGACATCTGTTCTTCTGTTGTGTTTTTAAAACATGTTCATTGGACTTTTATAAAAAATGAGTATTACACATCCGCTTAATATATTATGAACATATTTCCAGGTCAGTGAATGTAAGTACAGGTACCCCTTTTTAATGACTGTATCTTAGATCACGTACCCCAGAAGCACAGCCTAAGATGGAGATTCTTGCTCCCATGATTTGCTGAAGGAGTGCTCTCAGAAGTGTAATGAAGCAGAAAGGACAGGGAGTAAAATCCAAGGAAGAAAGTGGTCTGCGCTGGATAGCAGCTTCAGAAAGCTGGTGAACCCAAGGGGAAGTTCTGAAGCAAGGAGTCTGTTGGCACCAGTATCTGCTCTCCCCACCCCTTCCATAGCTTCCTCAGGTAATTTTCTGATCCTCATAGAAGCTGAGGGACCTCAGCAAGTGAAGAGACTCTGGGTGGGACATCCCCGACAGGTTGCACACATTTCAGATGCTCTGCTAATTAGAAACAACGATGCAGGGAGCATCCTCCATTTACTTTTTTTTTTATTTTTTTGAGACAGAGTCTCACTCTGTCACCTAGGCTGGAGTGCAGTGGCACAATCTCAGCTCACTGCAAGCTCCGCCTCCTGGGTTCACGCCATTCTCCTGCCTCAGCCTCCCGAGTAGCTGGGACTACAGGCACCCGCCACCGCGCCCGGCTAATTTTTGTATTTTTAGTAGAGACGGGGTTTCACTGTGTTAGCCAGGATGGTCTTGATCTTCCTGACCTCGTGATCTGCCCACCTCGGCCTCCCAAAGTGCTAAATTACAGGCATGAACCATGCACCCAGCCTCAGTTTTTTATTTTTTTTTATTATTTTTTTTATTTTATTTTATTTTATTTTTTTTGAGACGGTCTCGCTCTGTCGCCCCAGGCTGGAGTTTGCAGTGGCGCAATCCTCGGCCGTCCACTGCAAGCTCCGCCTCCCAGGTTCGACGCCATTCTGC